AGGACCACGGTCTAATTTCCTCTTACCATTAACCAGTTCTAAGGAACAGATAGATGTTTTATGGATTGCAGTGGGCCACACCTTCTTGATATTAGTGGCTGTGTGTTTGTTTGTTTTTTTTATATATGAATAGGAACTGCAGGATTTGTGCTATAATTAAAACGCAAGGGATTTTGGTTGCATGGGTCCTTCCATACCCACCACACCTCTGATGTATATGCAGATGTGATGCAATGAGCACTTATTAGACAATTCAGTTAATTAAATAATACATATTCACACTGGAAGGGAGCTTGTGTACTTGTTACCTCACCTGAAAAGGAACTGGTTCCCTTCCTTAAAGATATATAGTTGCCTAACTCCCTTAAATTCCTCTGGTCTCTCAAATTTTCGGAACGCTGTGTCAAGTCTGGTTTAGGAGGAGGTGGAGGAGGGCTCAGTTCCAGAGCAGTTTATTAGTACTGTCATAGAAAAGACAGTCATAGGAAAAGGACCTTGCTACCACACGTTAGTCCCCTAGCATCGAACCAAAAAGTCATGGTCCAATGCTAGGGGCATTGCCAAACCACAATATACATGTTTGTGTCTCACACCTCTATATAGAATAGCTCTAAGCTGTCCCCAGTCCCACCCTTTTTTGCTACTGTAGGCTAGCAGGATAGTACCAGACCTACTGCACAACCAATTTTTCCTTCTACCTCATTCCTGTGTACTTTAAAACATTCAGAATATAATTTTATTTATACGTTTTAATGTGTTGTGTGTGACTAATATTCATAATACTCAAAACATGTGGCCTTTTAGCTATGGCCTCTATATAAGTACTTCTTTAGTGTACAAAGTTCACAAGTTCCTTCTTAATTTAAACAGTAGGGTTGCTTATGATGCACTTCACTGTTGTATCTACACGGTGCTTTTACATTAGTGAGGCTACCAAGCCTAGCAAAAGCTATACATCTATTAGTGCCTTTAGCAGTCAGGAAAACTCAAGCCTGTTACATTGCAGCATTTTATTTTCAGCCTTTAATCCCTTTTTTGTGGGTATTTGTCAGCCTTTATTTTATTTAGATTTTAAGCTCTTTTTGTTGAGATCCTGCTGTTTTATATGTTGGTAAAGTGCCTAGCACACAGCTGGTACTATACAAAAGATAAATAATAATATTAATGTCAGCTGTTTGTTTTGTCAATTGCATTTCAAAACCTTATATTATATTTATTATTTCAGAATGAATAATCAAGTATTAAACCATGAACCTCGGTTAAAATTATTGTTAAAAGAAAGGGATGAAGCAGTGCAGCAAACTGCATGTTACCCTTAAAATCATTCAACTATTAAATTGAATATTCCTGTTATGTTTTCTCATAATTTTCAATTTGACTTTTCGGTGCAATATCTCTGACATCTCTTGGGTTTTATTCATCTAAAATGGTTCTATTTAGATTGAGAGATTTCTGGTGATTTTTAACAGGCTTTTCCAGAATATCTTCATGCTTTATGTGATTTTTTTTCTCCCTATCCTTTATTCTGTTTCATGATACAGAGTTGATACAGATGGTGCTGCCAATCTACAGCCATGATCAGGTCCAGGAAATGAGAGTTTAACGCTAGTGTGAGTTTACTTTTAATGGCACAGTGGGTGTAAACAGATATTGCTCTTGTGCCACCATAAATAGATGATGGCAGCACAAGTTGTAATCAAACATTTGCCCTCACCCACTGTTGTGCTCCAGGTGCCCAAGAATGTTGCTGCTGAGATTTATCCTGGCACAGCTGATCCTGCTCCATAGATGATGTCTGTTTATAACCAGTTCCTTCTGTTATACAGTAGGAACTGTTTCTTGTTCATTTAGACTTTCCTAGTGAAAGGCAAGGGTCCAATCCTCTAGAGAATCAAAATATAACCTGCTTTTTGCAATGATCTGCCTAGAGTACCAGAGAAATTCTCCCTGTATTTCTTTTAATTAGGAAACCTCCATCCAGTGTTTCTTATACATATATACATGTGACAGTCATGAAAATATTACTAACAGTATTCTCTTCTTATACTATTGCTACAGCCCCTGCCACTGCTATGGTGCAGTTTAGAGTTGGTCAGTAGGCAGTTGAGCATTTCCACTGACTTTATTTAGGTTAAGTTTTCATCCTTTTCCCACAGTTCGATGTCTTAACTACAAGACCAGTTAACTGGTTTTGATAGTAAGAGGGAAACAAAAAAAACCCCACCTTGATTTCCAATGAATAATTTAAGCATTAGTTACAGTATTTGGCTGTAAAATTACTTTAGAAATCAGGAAAAGATCATTATTTTTGCTAACTTTTTGCAATTTTTCAAGAGAGTTCACTGTCACTCCTTCTCATCAAAGACTTATATTTATGGATGTAGACACTTTCGGGCATCTTATTACAGTTTATGAAAAATTGTGTGGCACAGAAATGCAGAAGTACATTGTCATTAATATTTTAAATAAATACTTCAAGCTGGGTGGTACTATACAAGCATGTACTGCTCTGGAATAGCATCCACTTAAAGGCCTTGTCCACGTGTTCCTTTTTTATCTGAAGCCTCTACTTACTGCCTCACTGCCACTTTTTTTTACTTTATTTCCCTCTCAACATGGAAAGACCTTTAAAAGTCTATGCTTTAATAATAAGATACCAAATTACTCTTGTTTTGTGCTATTTTTCTTCCTTTGCTGTCACCTTCATACTAGATTATTTTTTAAAGTCGTCTTGATTTCCTGGTGAACTCAAGGTACCATATTGCATTCAGAGCCCTCTATAGCAGATGTTACCTTCCCCCATGATTTACACTGGAATACAGGCAAAGCCAGTATCAGGAGAGCAGAATGGTCACCTTTGTTTAGTACTGTATCAAATATAGATTCATGCTACTTTTAAAGAACAAGTGGTAAATCTTGTTCTTCTATACTGGAGCTACACCTTGAAATAAAAGAAATGGGTGTTACACAGGATTAATTCTGGTTTTTTTCAGCTCAGTTGATCCAGTTGATTGGCAAATATACATATTACCTGGGGCTGTTGTCCCATGTGGTTAAGCCACTGCTGCTTCTAGGGCTTCAGGGGCCTGAGTCTGAATAACAGCCCTGGGTGACAGGCCCCAACCTGGAGCATATTTATTTCTGCAAGCTTTGAGAACCTCCCAAGGGGTCACTGTTCTGTGTTTGCAGATGCATGCCTGGGGTCGGGGCCATGCAGCATGAAACTCATGCTCCAGAAATCCCCTGCAGGGGAATTCCCAAGACACAGGTCATACCATTAACATACAGATGTCAACTGCAATAGAGTGGCAGAAACTGTTAGTAGAAATGGTTGTGTAGCCCTTTGGGGGCATTTGTGGTATGACAGAAGGCAAGGACATCTGTATGCTTGCATTTTTTCCTGCCATAAAAAGTTTTACAGCTGGGCAATGTCTGTTTGCAGCCTAGTAGTTTTAAATATTATACCTTTAAAAACACCAAATATTTGTCTCTCCAAATCATATTTTATGGACTTTTACATTTTCAAGTGTGAAAAATTGTTCTTCTGTAGCTTTAGAAGATATCTTTTTCCATAAAATAAACATTTTAAAAATAGTTACTACAAAGAGGAAAAGTTAATGTATTTCACAAAGCAATTAACTCATGCTGTCAATGCATAATAATATTCACAGCATGACATTGCTTAGACATGATTCTGATTAAAAGAAAATGTGCAGGTTTATTTAGTGCATAAAATGAAAAATTAAGTAAATTTTAAAATTCTGTATGTAATTCTGCAATCTAAAATGTGATTTTTTTCCCCTGTAGAAATGTGTAATTTTTTATTGATTTATAATAGTTATTACTTTTTGAAAAATGTATATAAAAATGAAGGAAGAAAACACAGAGTAACTTAAAATTTTATTCAAATTTAAAAGTCTACAAACAGAAAAACATCATAAGTAAAATGTCCAACCAATATTCTAGCCAGAAAATATCAGAAAGAAAAGGGGCAAAACTCACTTAAGATGCATGCAACACTTTTATGCAGACTTGGTGTTGCAGAGATCTATAAAAATGCTTAACATGGAAAAAGATCTGCGCATCCAGGAAAAAGCATCCAAGTTACCATGTATCATTAAAAAGTTATGAATCTTTTGAGTGATCAAATTTGTCTCTTTTCTAGCCTAAACAATGAAGTTACAAGATGATTTTGACCTTCATTTTCCAGCAGTAATTTTACTTAGCAAACAACGTTAACTGTAGTTTGTCAGTGCTAGAATAATATTGTTTCTCTAGTATATTGAAAATTACCTAGATAACACTGAGACCCTTTACAGCCAAACTATATGATTTTAAATGTATTATAGAGACCTGTCTACAGCTATTGATTGCTGTGTATCTGCCATCAATCCAGTATCAGTCGACTCTGCTGATTATTTTTATGCTGGTGAGAGAGAATATAGCACGTCTACAAATGCCCAAATACGGTATATGTTTGAATGCATCATTCAGCATCTCTATAGAGGTAGTGTTTAGAAAATGATGGTTTTGGCACTAGAGTGGAAGTTGGTACACCTAGATTCAGTCACCGCTACTCAATATGCCTCCTATGAGGTGCTGGACCAATATGTAATTCGGGGCCTGATTTTTTTTTAATGGTTTTTCAAAATTCCAAGATGAAGAAGGTCATCTATAGAAATCAATGAGCATTGAACATATAGGCATTTTTAAACTCCTACTAGACATCTTCCAGCATTTTTAGGCACCTAACTACCTTTAAAAACTGACAGCTGCTTTCTTCGCTTCCAACTCCATAAAATAGAAATAACAGTACTTGGCCTAATACATTAAGGTTTGTGAGGCTCTCAGATGCTATGGGGGAAAGGGTCTATTGATAGCTTTGATACGTATTTACCTGGTAAAATTAGGGTGATGGGTACATTTACAGATAGATTTTAGTACTGTTACAGAAAAAAATAATATTATACATGTCTTTTTTTGATTTTGCTGTTTTGCAGACAAAACATGGATGCATACTCCAGAGGCTTTATCAAAACACTATATCCCTTATAATGCAAAGGTAAGAACTTTTTCCAGGGTATTTGCTTTGCAAAATTAGTTTTAAAAAGAGTAAAAAGATTTGCAAGAGCTTTTATCAAACAAAAACCTAGGAAAAAGCAGATAAAAGATACTGAAATAAAATAGATTCCTTTTGTAGATGCAAGAATCTGCAAGTATGTCTACCTATTTACTCTGCTTCTTCCTACCTGAATGATTGTGATGGTTGACTAAGACCCAATCCTGCATTCTTTTCATAGGCAATGTTCACCTTTAATGTAATAGATGCTAACTGACTGGTAGTTTTGGTGTACAAAAACAGTGTTAATGGGCTAGTAGATATTATAGGATACAGACAGAAGTGAGAATTTTTGCCTGACATGACCACAGAAAGCAATTTATAGCTGTGACCAAACACAAGTTCACAGCTGCAAACAGCTTAAAAAATGGCTGATTGTGTGAGAATCTGACCCCTCATTGCATAGATTCATAGATGTAGGGTCGGAAGGGACCTAAGTAGATCTTCAAGTCCGACCCCCTGTCCTGGGCAGGAGAGAGTACTGGGCTCATATGACCCCAGCTAGGTAATTATCAAGCCTCCTTTTAAAGACCCCCAAGGTAGGAGCCAGCACCACTTTCCTTGGAAGTTGGTTCCAGATCCTAGCCACCCTGACTGTGAAGTAGTGCCTTCTAATGTCCAGCCTGAACCTACTGTCAAACAACTTATAGCTGTTATTCCTTGTTACTCCGGGAGGTGCTCAGGGGAGCAGGGTCTCTCCCATTCCCCGCTGGTCCCCCCCTGCTAAGTTTATAGACAAGTTCAAGTCCCGTAGCCTCTCCTCGTAGGGTCTGCCCTGCTGTCCCCGGATCATGTGAGTGGCTGTCCTCTGGACCCTCTCGATGCCAGCCACACCTCTCCTAAAGTGCGGCACAAAGCCTGAAAGCTTGGAAAGAACAATTTTTCCAACTATTTAGTTGGTCCAATAAAAAATATATCACATCTACCCAAAGAACTTTGTCTCCCTGTGTCCTTGGACCAACACGGCTATAAACAACAACCATAGAGAATGTGTGGGATATTTTTAATTCCTGCTATTTATGTGAACCAACAAGTTTAATGCTAAAAGTGCAAAGTCATGATGTAATGACAATTAAGAAACATAGTTAGTTGGTGAGAGTATTTATGGAAGGTATTCTACAGTATTCATGGTGTTCCATAAGCACTCATTGTTATGTTTCATTGTTTTGTTAATGGAAGCAACAGTTCCCGTTCTTTTTCCTTATGAGGAAATCAGCTTCCTGTCCCCAGAGGAAAACAGTCCTTTGGGAATGAGGCATTGGTACAGCAGAGGAAGAAGAAAAGGACATGGTCATTTATAACTAAACACTGTGTCAGAATGTATACATACTGACGTTGCTGGGTTTTTGGTTGTGGCCATGTTGGTCTAAGGTCATAGGCAAGGTTCTTTGGTTAGATGTGATATCTTTTATTAGACCAAATCAGTTGGTCTAATAAACTAACTCAGTTGATCTAATAAAAGATATCACATCTAACCAAAGAATCTTGCCTACATACTAATGTTGCATAGATCACTAATTCTAGCAGACCTGAATTTTGAGTGCTTCATTTTTTTTAACCTTAAAATGTTCTTTTAATACTCTTTCCATATTTAAGATACTGATCCAACTGATAACAGTAATAGGCTGTCCATCCACTCTCTGGAGCAGCACTGGAGGGAAATGAGTTACACAGTTTGCGAGTGAGTTTCATCTTCAGTGGCAGTCCCTCATGGTTGAAGATGATTACTCCTATGGGTTAAGTGAAGGGTTGTAAATGAGTCCATTGGTGGCTAAGAAGGCCAATCCTAGAGCCACAGACTCTGGCAAATACCACAGTTGGTGGTTAAAGGAAGGGTCGGTCTTATTTCCTTCCCTTCCATTTCTGTCATTTTTCTGCCTCTGGCGCAAGATGGTTTTCTTCAAAGTATGATGTACCTTTTCTTACAAGGCATCACCATGTAGCCATGTCCCAGGCTAATTTTTCCCAATTTGTGGTGTCAATGCTGCACTTCTTAATGTTAGCCTTGAGGGTATCCGTGAAACATTTCCTGTGGCTCCTGCATGTCCTTTGTCTTTGGCTGAGTTGGGAGTATAGCATTTGTTTTGGTAAACATACAACAAGCACATGCACACAGTGCCCTGTCCACCACAGCTGATGTTGAATAATCAGTGCTTCCATACTGGTGGTGTTAGCACTAGTGAGGACACTGGCATTCATACAGTGATTCTCCCACTTTACTCCAAAGATCTTCTGCGATGGTGATGGTGTTTCAAGTTTTTCAGGTGGTCCTTGTAGGTCACCCAAACTTCACAACCATAGAGAAGTTAGGTTTATATAGCCTTATATAGCCAGTGCCTTATATAGGAGGAGCTTTGTTTGAGTCTTGATGCTGTGATCATTGAACGCACCATGGTTTGGTCTTCCGAAGAGCTGGCTCATTGAATCCTGTACTGGATCACCTTATTGGCTGTCTTTGAGAGATGGCTGCCAAGCTATGCAAAGCACTCAACATTTTCTAGCTCCTGTCCATCAATGAGGATCTTTGCCAGTGGAATTGATTGGCCTGGACCAAGCTGGTGAAACGCCTTGTTTTTCTGATATTAAGGGTCAGTCCCAGGCACCGGTATGCTTAAGAGAAGCATTTATGGGCTGTTTGTAGGCCTTCCTTTTGTGTGTAATGGCAGTTTCATAGATGTTTGCTGACAGAAGAGGAATGGTGAGGTTTGGGGATCTTAGATTGAATTCCAGATTCTGGAGAGGAATGTGATCTGAACACGGACATATCCGCCTAAAGTCAGACCCCTCAGAACTCTGTCTCTTCCTTTTCCGTAGTGCTATTCTTCTCACCTGGCCAGTGCCATGCTGCTCCATTTCAGTCTCCCCACTCCCTGTGCTTATTCAGCAAGTTTCCATTTCCTATCTTTCTGACTCAACATCCAATCACTCTTTCCACTCTCTAGCTTCTGTCCACCTGACCAAGTTCCCTGTCTCCAATGTTTCTTATTCCTATTCCCAGTTTTCTGTGTGGGCTTACTCATCAAATATCATCCTCAGTCCCTAGAACTACCTTGTTCAGCCACCCAATCAGTTTCTCTTGGCCAGCCTCCACCCAGGGTTGCCAGCCCAATAATTTTTTTGTGCTGAGTGTAGAGAAATGCTTTTATTACTGACATGTTTTTACTGTCATTTAAAAATATTATTGGAGTGTGACTTCTTCAATGGTATTACACCTTGCTGCCCCGATCACAGAGACCCTTTACTCCCTGACATCCTTGACTTCACCCAGCTGCCCACCTCCAACCCACTCCCAATGTTACTACCTCCAGCCCTGCTCATCTTGGCCTGGCATGGACTCCCATTAATGCCATTCCTAAGTTCTTGGCTCCACTCCACCCCACCCACACTGCCTCCATCCCTGTACCTTTGATGCAAGCAGCTGTTCGAGGCAGAAGATAGGCATAAGGATCCAGTAACAGCACAGGCTCTCATGGGTGGCAAAGCTCCATAGGTGCAGAGTGCTGTGCTCCCATTCAGGTAGCAGGTGGCACAGTTCTGCTCCATCATCTTTCTGTGTTGCTCTAGCTTTTTACTTGCCATGGCACTTAAAGCTTTGGCAGCTCCATGTTTTTATGGGAGGAAACATGTTTTTACAGACAGGTATTTTTAGGATCTGTTTTCATGGCATGTCCTTACGTTTACAGACAGTTGGCATACTTGTCCAGTGTCCTTCCACTCCCCCACAAGATGCCTTGTCCTTGTCTAGTTCCACAGTCCAAACTACAGTTCTGGTCCTGTCATTTGAATTAAGCAACATCCTCCTTCCAGCTGCCTGCCTCCATTGAGAGCACATGAAACACAGGCACTCTTCCCTAAATTCATGCTACTGGATTAAGTGAAACTTGCAGCAGTCCAGACATGTATTTGTAGGGAAAGTGCTGGTGTGTCCAGGCTGGAACATGCCCAGTGTGTTGGGGAATTTAGCTGCTGGAATGTGTGCAATCACTGCTGGACCTTCGTGAACTGCAATTTATCATGATCAAAGCATGGACAAATTGTCTTGGGGAGGAGAAAAAGAGCATTTTCGCACAAAAATAAATCTCTGACAAATTTTAAAGTCTTGTTCTACAAGATGTGCAGTAGCAGAACTTTTTTTAAGAAAATACCCCAATTTTTAACATGAATAAAACTTTCCCCTGGCTCTGTTCAAACACAAAAACTGGTTTAGGTGAAATAGAAAAAAAACCCATCATCCTGATACAGAGACATGATGTGAAAAGTTGGTGAAAATTTGCAGAGGTCATAAAGAATGAAAAGAAGGTCCTATCATGGAAAGTGATGGACAAACTTTATAAGCAGTATTAAAAGCCCTGTTTATAATAAAAGATATATAATTTCATCTGTGGATACTGTTTTCATTCCAGGAAATCCAGAACTACTTTGTGAAATCTACAGTATCAGATTAGTTTGTCAAAACATTACCTTTAATGCTTTAATGTTCCTGCTGACACTAATGTGATGTTTGCATGCTTAAATAGCTAAGTCGTTATCAATTTGTATTATAATATTTGTTGTACACCGTTCATCGTTATCATCATCTGAAATTATCGAACAAGCAATCAGTACTGACAATGGAAATTTCAGGCATATTCTGCTACTTGTCAGGTGTTTTTCTTCTTAAAGTTTCAAACAGAATTTGAAACCAAAGGATATATTACCCTCTCAATTTTGATGGAAGTAATGGATTTTATATTGTAATGTTTATAGCAGAAGGCAGCAAAGAATAGGTGAGATGTAGTAATATCCATAAAAACGACAACCTAGCATCAGGTATTGATGGCAAGAATCATGTCTAGTGGAAGGCAATCTTCAGGTTTATTGTAAATGTCAACCATTCCAAGGAAGGAAATGATTATTTTTAAACATATTATTTTAAATATTATTTTATTTTATAGCAAACTACA